TAGAATAAAATATATTTGGAATTAGGTCAAGAATTAGTTTAAATCAAGAAAATTTTTTTACTAAAAGTCTAAAAATAGGTTCATAACTAAAATTTTGAAATATTGGCAATAATTTTACATTGCATCTGATTATACATTCCGATTGGCTTTCTATATTTCCCGTATACATACAACCGTGTACGTACAAATAAAAAATGCTTTTACATTATTTAACAATTTAGTAATAAATTAGGTTTAAATTTAAAAATTTTTACATAAGTTTTTGTATTAACTATATTTGAACCTCTACACCAAATTCAACCTAGCTTAAATTTTAATAAGATTTTATTGTATTATATATATATATACAGGCATTTAAATACAGTATAGAGTATGTACAGTATATACGTTTGCGTATGTGTATACGTATACACTTAATATTGCGTTGCGGGTGATATAAACTAATATATGCTAAGATGTATTTTATTAAATTAATTGTATAGTTAGTTCACAATTATAAGTTAACATTGGTATTGTCAGATAATTATTTGATCAAAAGACATAATATCAGACACAAAGAAATTGAAATTTCTTATGCTAATCATAAATCTTTTGACCAAATAAAGAAGTCACAAGGCAGTGTCAACATGACTAATAACGGATTTATCCGGAAACTCGCAATTATGTAGTTTCAGCCAAATAATAAATTTATATTCAACGGAAAAATCCTAAGTTGGCGGATAAACTACATACTAAATTTAGAGTGCTATATTGATATACGTACGTACGTACGTACGTACGTACGTACGTACGTAGTAATAAACAACAAACGTACAATCGTACTATACCGATACGTAGTATTTTACATTTCTTATTTTAGAATATTAACCTAAACTTTTTACTACGTATAAAGACTAACCTCAAACTTATACGTACGTAAATAAAGATATTTAATATCCAATTATATACGTATGTATAATTTTAAACCAAATAAGTACGTAATACGTATCAAGGTATAGATTGATATTACCACGGATAAAAATACGTACTGTACATAATATATTACCACGGATAAAAAATAGCCGTTTACGCACGTACGTACGTACAGTACGTACCAAATATTTTTAAAACTTTAAATAAAGCATGATATATATTATCTAATTAATTCAATTTGATATTTCAAAATGATTAAGAAAATTCTAGATTTTTATAGAACTAACGATAACGAGAGAGAAATTGTTGAGTATAAATTAACAAATTTTTTTCTGTAACAATAATTTAACCCCTCAATATGTACGTACGTATGTACGTACAATCTTTGTTTGCTTGTAATAAGTTTCCTTTTTCTAAAGGTTAAATAAGATATTTCGAAAAATGTTATGATTGGCAATTACATGCATATAACGGAACTCGATTACTTTACGTATACTAGCGCCTAGCTTCAAGATAGACGAATTCAGAACTATAAAAAGAAAGAGGTATATGCAAGAATATTATAACGTAATATACGTAATTATTTATCATATAATTTTTTGAATCTTATGATTTAGAAAAGCCGAAAAGACACTAACGACCAACCAATACATATCAAAGTTAAAGTTCACGCAATTAACGGCAATAAAAATAGAAAAAAAATAGGTTTGAGAAACATATGATCACGCCCAAAACTTCACATTTACAAAAAAAATTAGATCTAGATTATCACAATTACTTGAACAATATAAAAACAATATAAAATAAATTTATTATAATAACAACGAACGTGCACAACAGAAGATTTCATTCAGGCGTGCACAGCAGAAGATTTTTATTCATTATGAATATGGAAACCATTAACGTTAACCGGCTTTAAAATAATAACCTAAATTGTAAATTGGTACGTAGTAAAAATGCAAGGATTTGGCAATTTCATACGTTAACCCGCCTTTTTTGAGAGTTACTGGGATCAAGAGACCCAGAACATTAACAAAGTTACATTTAAAAGCTTTTAGTTGGCGTTCGCATTCTTTTAAACTTTATTACAATGGACAATGGGAATTTCCACAATCAAACCAATCAAATTTTAATCAAAGATTTTCTTGTTGAAATGGACTTAGATGGATACATTAGTTTTTATAATAAATGATGTGCCGATTGACGACTCATTTTTGTATACGTACATTAGTATCATCAAAGTTTACAAACTATTTTATTAACGGCTAATTATGTACGCTCGTACGTAAGTTCGTACGTACGTACGTACGTACGTACGTATCAATATCTGATATGTACGCACGTCTTGTTGCTGAGTTTAAATTTAGTTTGACAATTTTTAAAATGACGCAAGTACGTGTAAGTACAGTACAATATGTACTATGTTTGTACGTAGTAATTAATTCTTATTGGTTTTTTGACTTTTTGAGACCACTGTACCTTAGTACTGTACATATGTACGATCGTTTATGAACACTATTATACTTGGTGATCAAGTTGCATTATCTGCAAATTATGTTTCTATTACGGGTTATTAATAGTTTTTATGTGATTGTATTATTTGTGCTTTATAATTGAGTTAATAGGCTAATACGTAGTACGTAGTTTTAAGTCTATCATTTAAACGCATACAGTTTCTAGTTTTCTACGTATTAACCTTTTTCAACGTATTAACCTTTTAAGATGTAAGCAAAAATTAACAATTTGTTTTTTGACGAATGTTTTTTAAATGATGAATTGAAAATTTGTTCTAACGAATGTTTTTTAAAGGATGTGTTATATATATAGAAAAAATTGTTCATTTTTACTGTAATTACTGTTATTACTACGATTACTACAGTATATGATTACTGTTATTACTATGATTACTACAGTATATGATTACTATTATTACATAATTACTGTTATTACTGTTATTACTGTTACATATTGCTGTTGCTGTCGCTACTGTTACAGTTGTATTCAACTATTTATTCAACTATTTATTCAACTATTTATTCAACTATTTATTTAACGATCTATTCTTTATTCTAACTATTTATTCAATTAATCTATTCAACTATTTATTCAACTAATCTATTCAACTATTGACTATTGATTAAACTATTTATTCCAACTATTTATTCGACAATCAACTATTTATTCGACAATATATATATTTAACTATTGATGCGAGGGTACTCACAGACCATGTTTGTTGAACAATACTAAAGATAAATAATAAGGCTTTTATCGCGTTGTCTGATTTACAAATAAATGTGTCGTGATCCAATCATTTCATTCACGGGATGCCCGTTGTTACGTAGCAATACATGATCAAATAATTAATATTTAGCATAGAGTTAGGTTAATTCGCATTAATAAATGTGTAGTGAAACATTTACGAATACTGAAACCAATTAACATATACATATCGAATACTTACACGTATGCCACGTATGCTAAGTATACTATGTATGCTATGTATGCTATGTATGCTACGTGCTATGTATGCTACGTATGTACGTACGTACGTACGTACGTACGTGCTATGTATGCTACGTACTATGTATGCTACGTACGTACGTACGTACGTATGCCATGTATACCATGTATACCATGTATACCACGTATACTTCAGTCATATATACAAATTGCGTATAACTTTCATGTGATCATATTGTCAAATTTAATTAAGCTTTATATACATTATCTGAAACATTATCATGAAACACTATTGTTATTGTTATTGATTAAGCGAATAAAGGCAAAGTAAAATAAAAATTAAAATTAAAATTAACGAATTATTCATAGTTTTCATAGTATATATATATTCATAGTATTCATAGTATTCATAGTACGTATTAACTGGTACGTACATATTTTAAATCAGAATATTGATATTCACAATTATAAATTCAACAGTAATAGGTTAGTATGCAAATTATGAAACTCTAAACTTAAATATACCAAATTTGTTAACTTAAATATTAACAGGTTATCATTGTCGCGTTGATGATACGTAGAAAGTAGAAAGAGCACATTTATAGAAAAGTCTTCAGGTTTTTTTTTTTTTTTGCGTTATAAAATAATATGTAATACATAACTTTATTGTTATCAAGGCTTGGATGAATGCTAACAGCTTTTAAGCAAGTTTAACCAATGAAATTATCTGATAGACTAAATTTATTTTTGGTCGAAAAGCCAGAAAAAAAAATCCAAGCCTTAATATTTACATATATCAAGAAATTATAGATACTTTTAAGGTTATTTAATTGATTATATATATGGAAAATCTCGAATTCAATATTTATTTTCCTGATAATACATTTTAAAATATTCATAAATTATTTTTAAATTGAATTAAAATTGAATTAATTTTACTTTATATGGATATAAATTCGACTACACGTACAGTACGTATATATTTTAATTCTTCTAAGATGGATATTATTAATGCGTAAAAAAAATACGTATAATAATGTACGTACGTACGTACCGTACGTACCTAGTAACTTGTCAAATAAATGACAAGCCACAAGGCTTTGTTGCATTCACTCTTAATTCATAACAATATTTGGCATTTTTCTTCAGTCTTGTAATACGTATATGCTTCGAAACATATTATAATTATTGGTGGATTTGATGACATCAGCTACGGAAAATTATTTATACCACCGACCGGAGGAGTTGCATATATATTGAATATTTTAAAAAAAACTATATATTGTGTAAAAAAAAAAAAAAAAAAAAAAAATAATTTTTTTTTTAAATCAAGACACAAATGTCATGAGTAACATTGTAATACATCGGAGTTCAATTAATAAATACAAAATATAAATTATAAATGTTCTCATTATCACAAATGTGTTAATGCTCAACTTTGTACGTTAAATAATTTTTTGTTAAAAAAGCTAATAACATACCTCCTTTTTCTTTTTTCTTTTTTTTTCCTTCTTCCACCTATTCTTTTTAACCACTATATAACTGTGGCCTTATAATTCTTAGCGAGAAAATAATTTATTACTTTAAATATAATACGATATAATTATAATTTTTTTTAAAAACAAATGGCACTGGATCCAAAAGATTTGGCTGGTATATAAAATAAATTTGGCTAGTTTAATTCATAATTATTTCACCCTTCAAATTTTCGAATTCTAACTTTTAATATAATTGTTTATTACATAGAGCTGACGCCAATGTTCATAAGCACAATTTATAAACATTTTAGAAATGAAATCCCCGACTCGTAAGTATATATGTATTAATGGCTTCTATATGTTTTTATATGTTTTTATATGTTTTTATATGTTTTTATATGTTTTTTATTTGTTTAAAATATGTTGAAGATATATTTGTTTTTTATCGATATAGAAATTGGGATTTAAGACTTCATTTAGCTGTATCGATGCTTCGAAGTATTCTTCGAAGGTCCAAACATAAAACAATAGAAAAACAACAAAAATTCTTAGCCAAAGCTCATCTGCCTTCCAGCCCTTCAACTGTAGTAAAAAAGGCTATAGTACCGGAAACTTGTCGATCTCAGGCTGAAGATATTATGGCAGGTTTATTAAGTGGAAAAGAAGAAAAGGTTGGATGGAGATGGAAAGATGATCCGATGAAACAGACTCCTCTCAAGGGTGAATGGGTTGAATCAAAAACAAGAAAAAAGATAACTGATGCGGATCGTGTAATTCTATATGTTCATGGAGGTGCTTATATTTTAGGAAGTCCCGCTCAGCATCGTTTTTTAATACAAAAAGTTGCTAAAGAAGGTGCTGCTCGTGCTTTTGGGTATTTATTAAATTTACATAAAAAATATAAAAAAACAAAAAAATATTTAAAAAAAAAAATATTTATATATATACGTATATATTTTTGTATATATTTTTATATATATTGTTATATATGTTTTATATCTATATATTTTTTATATATTTTTTGTACATATTTTTTTTTATATATTTTCGTATATATTTTTTTAATTATAAAAATTATAAAAATATCAATTATTGTTATTGCTTAGTGTCGACTACCGACTGGCACCGCAATCACCATTCCCCGCAGCACTAGTTGATACATTGGCTGCCTATCTTTATTTAATACAACCACCATCAGACTCTGGGCTCGAACCAATAAACCCTAAAAATATAGTAATAATGGGTGATTCGGCTGGTGGAGGTTGTTATTTATTTTTTATTGTGTAATATAAAATAATTTATTTAATTTCAATATAATTTCAATATAATTAATTTATCAATTTACTTAATTACGTAAATTAGGTCTTGCCTTGGCTGCAATGTTGGTCCTTCGAGATGCCGGCCTTCCACAACCGGTTGGCGCTGCCTGTTGGTCTCCATGGTAATT